AGTTTTACATTAGAAATTTTAATTATTTGAACAAACTTTAACCTTCACTATAATATTTGTATAACATTATTACTCTAAATAACATGCAATTAAACAAATTGATATTTTTTAATAACCTTAAAAGGTAAATATTTGTAACTTTGAACTTGTTAAAAAGACACCGAACTATAATAAAAATCAAATATATATATGCATATAATGTATATGAGGTTAGCAACCTCAGAAAAAAATGACATGATATCCATTTAATGATCATTTATTATTTGTAAAATCATATGAAATGGAAAACCATGAATAATTGAAAAGTTGACTGAAAAATAAACTTATAAATTATTTTGACATACATTTGTAAATAACATAACATTTACACAAAACATTTTCATACACACTAAGAAAAATATATTTAGTGGGTTTCCGTTTCTTAACCAATCCCTAGTATAAAATATTACAATCAATATCAATTTCGTGATAAAAAATATGTATGTATATCTGTACATATCATAATGTATATAATAACATGTTCTCCGTAGAAATTTCGAAACGTAAATAATATTTTGCAAGTATTTTATTATTATAATAATAAAATACCAAGTAGCGCTCCAGACAACATGGCAAACCGACGGGGGCTCCCAATAGACTACGCACACGCTGGAAAAGTAGGCATTTAGATTTATTGTTGTGGTGACATTGTATACTTTTGTTCGGAGCTGTTAGGACTGCGTTTTCTCTGAAAAGAAGAAAACTTTTGAAATACTAACGTGTATGTTGCGAAAAAATAAGACGTCGTCTACCATTATACACTTTCGAATTATAACGTACTGTGTATAAATATTCGAACTCTATACGCTTTGGCTTGGAGTCATACGCGATAGCTTGATTTACTGGTTTTAGGGCGCATGGCTCATTTAACAGGAGGGAGGAAGGAACTTTGGTTATAGGGAAAAAATAAGAGGGAAATATTGTGTACATAATGTGAAAGAAAAAACACCGTGCTGTGGAATTTTAGGAGAAATATGGTCTTGTCACGAGAATATTCGCTTTAATTGATCCCTCGTAATTAGCCCTGTAATAAACGGTCGGTTGGTTTCTAATTTCTTTTTTCTTTCCTCGGAGAGAAATAAATTGTCGGAATGGTGTAGGAAAAAAAATTACAGAATCACTACGATACCCTTTTTCTACGAACGGTCGAAAATAATTATCTCTACGGTTATGTCAAGGTAAGACCCAACATCCACCATGGAGAAACAATATTAATATACACAATTTAGCTTATATTTTTAAAATAAATATTATTAATCCAAGGCGACGATAAACGCACAATTGATACAAATAAAAATATATAATATGAATTAAATGTAACTATATAAGTGATTAAAACATAATGTGTTTGAAATATGTTATCTTTCATTCAAGATCTAAATACAAAGTATTTTTTTAATAATTGTGAACCTGTAGTACAGTAAATATGATTTATTTATAAAACACACCCTTATATTATAAGTAGAACTTTACCCTATACAATTTTTTACATTTTAAACTTATCATGAATAATTTTATTATTTTTACTTAGCCACAGACCGCATATTTTTCAACTGGTTAACTGGATTTCCTATATAGTTTATGTCGATATTCTTAAGACTATCACATACCATAAAATAAAATGAAATTTAATGAATTTTAAATTTTAATTAGTAAATTGTATAATTAAGATAAGTATTAAAAGTGGAGACATTGCATAGTAGGGTCCAGTATAGATTTAATCTGACAGTGATTAAAATCACTATCATAAGAAACGCTTCGATGCAAATCTGTAGATAGTGTTTAATTTTAAAAAATTGATGGATAATTGCAAAAGCAACATCAACTTCTATTAAAATAAAATACAAAACCCATAATTATCATACAAAAATAGTATATTTTTCAATATGGTAGCCATTTGCGTATAGAAGATAGATCGTCGGGACAAATTTTTTTTTTTCATTTTGTAGTACATAAAATAAGCTTTAATTTTATATATGTTTAAAGGACGCAGTATTTCCGGAACATTTTCAAAAATTAAGTTGAAAAAGTTATTTTTTGTAAAAAAGTTACTATTTTAAATCCTCCCAGTGAGCAGAATAAGTGTTAGATTTTCAAAAAAAATTATATCAAATGAAAGGGAAATATCTAAGGTTTCAATACAAAAAAATATTATTTTTATTTGTTCATTTTTGAAAAAGTTATGGCAGTTTTAAGTACAAAAAACATCCCGATAAAATGTAATTTTTATCGCAAACATTACATTTTTTTTTAAATTTTCGACAGCCATTTGCACATAGAAGATAAGATGTCGGGACAAATTTTTTTTTTTCATTTGATAGTATATAACATAACCTTTGATTTGATATATGTTTAAAGGACGCAGTATTTCCGGAACATTTTCAAAAGTTCAGTTGAAAAAGATCTATGTTTTTTACAATATTTTAAGTTTTGAACGCCCCCTATATAAGGGGAAATTGTCCAATTTTAATAAAAAGTATGTCAAATGAAAGATGTACTTATAATGTATTTAGAAAAAAAAAATTTGTGCTGATATATACATTTTTCAAAAAGTTATAGCATTTTTAAGTTGAAAATTTAAAATCGAAAATCGAAAATTTTAACACAAAAATAGTGTTTTTTTAACTACGGCAGCCGTTTAAATGTAGAAAAAAAAGTGTCGGGACAAATTTTTTTTTTTCATTTTGTAGTACATAAAATAAGCTTTAATTTGATATATGTTTAAAGGACGCAGTCTTTCCAAAACATTTTCAAAAATTAAGTTGAAAAAATTAATTTTTGTAAAAAAGTTGCCATTTTAAATCCCCCCCAATGAGCAGGTTAAGTGATAGATTTTCAAAAAAATGATATCAAATGAAAGGTAAATATCTAAGGTTTTAGTATAAAAAAAAATTATGTTGATTTGTTGATTTTTCAAAAAGTTATGGAAGTTTTAAGAAAAAAAAGTGAAAAAATTTCGAAAATTAGCGATTTTTAAATTTGTAATTTTTTTGGATATTTCCCCCATTTGCGGGGAACGAGGGAATTTTTTTCAATTTTTAAGGGTAATGTCTTCAACTAGATACGATTTGTGATCTTTTGAC